ATTGAATTTTCAAGAAAAATTTTATTATTTATGAAAATAATAAATTGATTTCTTGCGAAGAACTTTATTCCAATTTTTTTTAAATAATTGAATTCTTAAGAAGAATTGTATTGAAAATAATTTAATTGTATAAAAAAGTTTATTAAAATTGCAATTTTATTAACTAAATCTTGTAAAGAATTTTATCAAAATTTTTTTAAATAATAGAATTTTATTTTAATTTTTCGAAATAATTGAATTTTTCAGAACTAGTTTTTTCAATTCTCTGAATATATTTGAATTCTTTCGAGAAACTTCATTAAAAAATTAAAAATACATAATTGAATTTATAAAAAAAGTGGTAAGTAATTAAATTCCTGTGAAATTGGTATTAAAATTTTGTTTCAATAATTGAATTCTTTTGGAAAATTATAATAAAATAGTAGATATTAAAAATAATTGAAATGAGGAAATTTTTTGAAAATAATTGAAATTTTGCCAAGAATTTTATTAAATTTACTACTTTTTCAGTTTAAAACTACTTTTTGAAATTTTTTAAAAATTAATTATTGAGTAATTAGTATTGTTACTAGTATTTATCGAAAGTTTTAATTGTCGAGTGACCTTACTATTAGTTATTAGTATTATTACAAGCATTATATTTAAATACTAATTACTATTGGTAAATAGTATTGCTACTAGTATTCTCTCTAAATACACTCGATGTCTCGATATACAACAGAATATTTATGGAAGAGATGTTTCATCTTTTTTATACAGACAGAGTAATTATTATTTTAATTGTTTTCTCATTTGATGATGGTACGTTTCAATTTGGAAACATCAATTCATCTCGTATACAAAAGCCTTGTAGCAAAGTATCGGGCTACAAATCCGCTTGCTCGTTCGATTCGGTGCATCGAGTTTTAATCCATCATTTGTGGTTCTCGTCAGCCCAGATATCTCGTGTTTCAGAAAACCGCAAATCCCGGTGTATAAGCTTTGAATTTTTTTTCTCGTTTATTTCTCTCCGCTATATACATTTAATAATCTTTTCTGTATTATAAGCTTCTTCCTCAATGTTCTTTCACTTTTATTCAAATTAGCTCAAGTACCAACTGACTTTCAGATTGAGAATCAAACTTTAAGACCAAAATTAAATGAGGTTTCAAATTATACACAAGTCTTTAAATTAAATTTAATTTCGTGTTAAAAATTTAATGAAATGAAAAATTAAACAATTAAAACTGAATTTTAAATTTAGTCTCGAGTTAGTAACTTTGTTTTAAATTAAAAATTTAGTTTTAAATTTAAATTTGATCTCAAATTAAAAATCTATAGTCTTAAATTAAAAATTAATCTTAAATTAAAATTTTCTTTTTACTTTTGTAAAAAGTCTATATTTTTTTGTTGTTTTTATATTATGGTTTGTTAGTTAAAGAGTTAAAAAAAACAAAAGGGATTTTTTATTACTTTCTGGTAGTAAAAGACTATACTAATTTAATATTAGAAAACTATTAATTTCTTGGTACAATACCTATTGAACTTTATTAACTTTTTAATTATTAATTTATATCTCATACTCAAATTAGTAATTTTTTGTTAATAAATTAGTAGTTTTCTTACTTTTAAATTAGTAGTTTTCAGTAGTTTTCTACTAAAATTCAGTAAAATTTCTACTTTTTAAATGATTGAATGAATTTACACTTTCTAATTTATAAAATCTCTCAGATTTATAAAGTATAAATATATTATATAATTTTTTTATATAAATATGTGTTTTTAGGTTTTTACACATTAAATTATTTTTTTAAATTAAGTTTTCAAATCCGAAAAGTAGCTCACTCTGTTGGGAAGAAAGAAAATATTCTCGAGAATCTGTTTAACCGACAAACGGCAGTTTTCTTTGTTATCCAGAATTTTTAGAAAGAATATTCTTTTTATTTCTATTTTTTTTTTAAATTTAAATTTCAAATATTTTGAAAATAGCCCTCTATTCAATTCTTTTTTTTATTTATTTATTAATAATATTTTAGAAAATGTTTAGTAAATCAACTTTTTTAGTTCCTAAAGATTCGAACGTTCAAATCAACATTTTTTAAAATCTTTTAATTTGTATTTTTTTAATGAAAAAAATTATTTTGGATAGTCAAAAATTTATTATAATAAAATCTTTAAATAAATTCTTTAACGTCAGAGTGGTTTTAATAATAAGACAGAAAAACAAAAATTAATTAAATGTTAAAAGTAAATAAATAAATAATTATAAATAAAAATTCAATCTTACCAAAAACTAATTAATAATCCATTTAGTAAAAATAATAAATAATAAAAGACGCACATAATAAATAGTACAACAAACAAAAAAAAAATAAGAACAAATAAAACAAAATTAATAAATAAAATAAATTTATTTGTTTATTATTAAAATAATTATTAAAATCTTTAAAATTTATTCTTAACTAATTAAGTGTTTAATTTTAATTATTTTTCTTTTTTTTGTATAAGAGTTTTGAAAAAACTGGAAAAAAGAACGTTCAAAATTTTAGGAAATTGTCATAATGAAAATATTTAGTAAGACATTTTCAATTTTTATTTATCAAACAATAATTTTTTGGAATACATTTACAATATCCGATTTTTTTTCTTAAACCCAGAAAAAGATTCAACTATGGAATAACTATATTTTTCTCTAGAATAGCGAAAGTTTTAATTGAAACAACTAAACATTTCGCTAATAATGTGAAATTTATGTCTGTTCCAGGCGAAGATTTTTTCCGAGAATAATAATTTTTTAGAAGAGTAATTTAATAATTAATAATTTTAATGAATATTTTTTACTTTTTATCAAAACTGTTTTTTGTAATTATTTTGTAATTAAAGGGCGTAAATACAATACTTAGCCTTTTTTGTTACAAAATAATTAATAATGAATGATTATGGTAATGTAATTTTAATTATTAATGAAGAATTTTTTAGAACTCTTCAATTTAAGGTTAAATTTAAATAACATTTTTTAAAACGTGTCGGCTATTAACTTTATTATCCAATTCTCTCCTAAAAGTGTAAATTGTAAATGTAAGAAATTGTAATTGTAAATTCTAAATTTAAATTCTAATTAATTTTCTAAAATATTTATTTTTCTACATTAATATTTACATTCGAAGTATGTTAAATTAAATATTTTGCATGTAAAAGAAATTAAAAAAGAAAGTTACATGCATTTAACATAAAAATCGTGACAAAAATGAATACGAATGTTTTTTTTTCAAACCAGAAGGAAAGTTGATTTGGGAAATTTTTCAAAATAATGAAGAAACAATGTCGTATAAAATTATTGAACACTATATTTCATACACATGTTAAACATAATTATTCTTTCTCTCATTCTCAAAAGCAAGCTTCTGTCTAACTTTCTCATTCATAAATATACAAGTATTTTTAAACAATTATTAATTTTCTTTTTTTTTTTTTTTTTTGTTTAAAAATTTTTCAACGAACACTTTTAATAATTCTAAATGCTTAGTATTAAAATCGAGATTAAAATTTACCTAATAATAATAATAATAATTACGTAGAAAATATATGTATATATGTATATAATATATTTTTACAGACCTTTGGAAACAGAGATTTATAATTATAATATTCCTTTTTTTTCATTATAATCGGTCACAAAATATTTTCGCATTACTATTATTATCTCTCTGTCTCTCTAAAAATTCATGGATTTTTTATCAAGAAAATTGATCATTTAGTAACACACTTAGAAAGTAATATTTATTAACAAACCTGAGGTGATATAACTAATTTGATGCATGGCATATGTTGCAACCTTACATATTCAAAGTGTTTATTTTTTCTTTTTTCTTTTTTCTTTAAATTTTTCACCATTTTATTTTGTCAGTTTCGACACATTTTTGTCTATTTTAAGAAAAGAAAGAAAACATATTCTCTCCTTTAACTTTAATAACACGCGCACTTAATAATTAAATCTTTATACTTTTAGAATGGCCAAAATGAATTCATTTTAGTAGAATTAATTTCAGGTACCCTAGTATAAAACTAAATATTTGACGATTAAATTATTTCGAAAAAAAATTTATTCAATCGCTAATCATACAATGAAACTTTATTTATTCGCGTAATTTTTTTTTCATCGTCGTAAATATATAGAAAATTAATCAATAAAGTGCCTTGTAGTTTTTTTTAATATTTCTTTTCGAACTTAAAAAGTTACTTAACAATCTGTACACAGTATATATTCATCAGTTCTTTTTTTTTTGTTATGGAATTATTATCGATTTGCGGAATCGACTAAACAATTTCATGCAATTACGATTTGTTTTATAAACTATTTGTTTCGTTGGGGAAGGAAAAAAATATATATAAATGTTCGCTGTCGTACATTTTTTTTTCTTTTAGTGAATTAACAGTTTCTATTAAAATATATTTATGCAAAATATAATTTTTCTTTTGATTTATTTATATATATTTATATAGAGATTGAGCATAAAATGTGTATAAATAATTGAACGATTTTTCTTTACAATTGAAGGGAAAAGTTCTGAAACTTTTGGTGTATGAAAAGTTTGTTTCTTACAAGTAAAAAAGAATTTTTTTATTTAAAAACATTTTCGATTAAAAAATCTTTGTTCTGTTTAATAATTGGGAAGTGAAAGTAAAATATTTTATTCAAATCGTCAAATAATGGTTGTCTATTATTTAATAAATATTTATTTGTATGAAATAATTGTTATTTGAGCCAGGAAAATGTTTCTTTTCTACAAAAGCAGAAATTATTTTAATTCAAATACAATTTGACTTGAAAAAAATTATTTGGTACTGGAAATTGTACATTTGGTGCTGATATTATTTATTAATATTTATTTTATGACGAAAACTATTTATATTTTGCAAATATTTATTTATTTGCAACAGATAATTATTATTTGAGTCAGTAAAATTTTATTTGTTCCAAACAAAGAAATTATTCAGATAAAAATAGAATTTGAGTCAAATACAAAAATTATTTGGTGCTAAAAAAATTATTTTATGTGTATAAATATTTATTTGGTGCAAACCATTTTTTATTTGCAACAAGTAATGATTTTTTGAGACAATAAAATTTTATTTGCTTCAAAATAGAGAATCTGTTTTGTTTCGAATACGATTTGACACAAATAAATATTATTTGGTGCTACTAAATATTTATATGGTGCTGCTAAATATTTATTAAGTATTTATAATTATTTATTTTGTGCTAATTAATATTTATCTAGAGTTCATAAATATTTGTTTGATGCAAATAAATATTTATTTTGTGTAAATAAATATTTCTTTTCAAGAAACAATTATTTTTTGAGTCCATCAAATCCCTCACAGCACCGAGAATTTACTGAAAATTTATTAAAGATTTGGGTTCAAACTTGGAAATATTGAGTAGCAAAGCTGAGTAAAGACTGTGTAGGTATGAAATATAAAAATGTCTGCTTGTAAGAAAGTATTTAAAGTGAAAATTTACTGAATTTTGATTGAAAATTTAAAGCAAATGCTCGTTAATCGTTTGGCAAAAATATTTCCGAAAAACAAAAGAAAGATCACAAATATTTTTTATGGAAACTTATTGATTTAGTTGTTCAACTTTCGTGTTAAATATTTTCTCTCACATGTGGACATTTTTCATTCAGCTTTGCAACTCAATATTTCGAAGTTTGAACTTAAATCTTTAATAAATTTTCAGTAAATTCTCGGTGCTGTGTGGGATTTGATGGACTCGAAAAGTAATTGTTTCTTGCAAAGAAATATTTATTTACACCAAATAAATATTTATCAACACGCAAAGAAATATTTATCAACTCCAAATGAATATTTATCAGCACTAAATTCGAAGTAAAAAAATAATTTTTTGTTTGTAAGAAACAATAGTTTGTAAATAAATTTCAGTTCATCAGAGTGTTCGAAACTTTAGGGACATAAAATTATTTGCTTCAAGCACGTAGAAATAATATCGTTTTAATTAGAATTTGACTCAATAAAAAGTTATTTGGAGCTGCTGAATATTTATTCTTAAATAATTATTTGTTTGATAATACCCAACTGATTATTTGAATCTAGTAAATTTTTTTTCATTGCAAACTTTTCCCACAATTCCCATAAGTTTCATTTAAAAAAAAGTAGGTGAAAAATCAAAAACTCATTCTTTTGGCATATTCTTTACGCATAAAAAGAAAAATATCTATAGATTCCTTAAAAAAAAGTGATCAGGAAAAATTGGCCTGAAAATTCATAACGTCTGAACTTGATTATCACAGCAATTAAGTATTATCATGTTCAGAATATGGACAATTACCTCTAATCCAGTCATTGTTATATAACTTTATCGTCAACATTATAAAGTATACACATACAATATAAATTGTCATTTATACAAATATTTCTACATATAGGAAATTAATTCGTCATTATCAAAAAACTTGATTCACGAATTTAAAATTGGGTTCTTATAGTCTTTTAGATTCTTTTTCAGAAATTTTGTTTTTCACATCACACTGATTCGCACACTCGATACACCTTAATATCTACTTGATAAAAATTCAGAAAGTAAGTTCGTCAACATCAACAGTTTACAGGTACATCGCCGCCTGTTCCTTTTCTTAAAAACAGAGATCACTGAGCGTTCTCTACATCACTCTTGTGGACCACTGAAAATTTATGATATCAGTCATAATTGTTACAATCGCTGCACATGAAAATCTATTTGGAAAAACCTAATTTGGTTTCTAGATCGAAATTATCAAAAATTTCAATTCCGGCTCAATTTCGAAAGCTTGAGATTTCAGACGGTTTTTCGAAATTTATTTGTATATTTAATGTTTTCTAATATCGAGGTTCGGTGAAGTACCTTGGGGGTTGATGGAGATTGTGTTGAGATCTACTGCGAGTATACTCCCTTGCTGCGATATTAAGAGAATTGTTTTCTGGATTATTCGCCGAATTTTTTGCTTCTGAATTACCAGGTGCTCCAGGATAATCTGGAGGTGGTGCTATGTTCGCTTGAAATTGCGACAAACCCTGAAGTGTGCCAACCGATCTTCTCCACTCGTGGGCCTTTTTCTGCTCATCCTTCTCCTGCTGTCTTCTCCTGCTCTGCGACGATCCACTTTCAGTCGAATTACTATCCTCACTGGTGCCTAAACCCGGATCTCTTTCTTCAAAATTAGTCAAACTTATCGCAGGACTTTCCTTAGTGCTCGTGTAATAGAGTTGTGGATGAGGAATAACGTACGGTTTCGTTAACTTGCTGATGTCCTCTTTCGATTTTTTATCATCGTCATTGTCCTCGTCGCTGTTAGTGGAGCCTGTGCCAAAAATCGACAACAACACCGGAAGTAAAAGGAGACCGTGCAGTGCTCCCAGGAAAATGACAAGAAACACCATTTTGAAGAAGACCAAAAAGATGTATGTTCCAGCGAACAAAAGTGCGAGTAGTCCGAGAATTGTCGACACCGCACCCTGGACAACAGGAAGACCCAAACTGTACAAACAAGCCTTGACCCTCTCCTCGGATGTTTTGAATTTCGAACTCATGTACGCGTAACAAATATGCGCTGTAAAATCGATACTAAAACCAATGCACATGATGAGATTAATCATTGATATACTGTCGAGATTAACATCCCATAGAGCCATGTAGCCGGCCACTCCTACTTCGATCGAGATAATGCACAGGGCAACAAGGAAGCAGCACATGATGTCGGGAATAAAGATATAAGTGATTACCATCATTGCCACGGCTCCTATTATCATTGATTGAATGCTGATTGGAATAACGAGATCGAATTGATCGAAGAACACAAAATATGGATGAAAAACGCTGGCATTTAGCGGTGAGTCGTGACAAATTTTTCGCAAATCTCTCACCATTTCTTTCTCCTGATTTGTACCGCTTACATTCACTGCTTGAATGAGAAATCGACTGCCAATTATCCTCTTGCCGGTGTCGTCGAATTTGACATCGAGGGAAAATGGACTCGATGGAAAGAGCCAGTAGTCTTTTAGAGTTTTTATGAAGTTCTCCTCGCTGTCTATTGTGACGTTTAGGTAATCTTGATTCTCCGTGATGTAGCTCAAGAAACTACGTAGCCAACTTTCTGAATAGAGAGAGTTACTTATCCATTTTGTTTCTTCGAGGGTTCTGGTTAGATTTTCAACTTGTGACTGGATTACGGGATCGCTGTAGTCGTAGTCTCCACTTACTATCACCTGTAATTGGAAAAAAAAATTTGTTAATTGGAGGGAAAAATTGAGGTGTGAGAATAAATATGTCGTTGTTGTTAGCGTCGATAGTTAGTGTCGAAAACTGTTGTTTAAAGTTTTTGGTGATAAAAATGGCACTAATTTCACCATTTCATTTAATTAGGGATTTAAAAAATTTCTCAGGACAGTTTTTTAACCTGAATGCTTCGAAAAAATTGTTTTATTCTTTTCGGTTTCGTAAAAATAATATTTTTTGACGATCAGCGTCGACGCTAACTTTAGGAACCTGAATAAATCTCAATGGGTTGTTTGGTAGAATTTTTTGGTTATAGAATTTTATTGACAGAATTTTCTTTTTGCAGAATTCTTATTTGACAGTATTTTCTTTTGGTAGAATTTAGCAAAAAGAAAATTCAAATTAACAACTAAAATTTAAAAAAGTTTTACTTGCTGCAATGAATTGACAAAATTTTTATTTGGTAGCATTTTCTTTATGCAGAATTTTCTTTTTGCACAATATTTATTAGGCGGAAATTTTTTTTATGCTAAAGTCTTATTTGCGGTCATGAATTGTCAGCATTTTCGTTTTGCAGAATTTTTATTAGGCAGGGTTTTCATTTCAGAATATTTTATTTGGCAATGAATAATTGACAGAATTTTTATTATGCAGAATTTTCTTTTCACGTATAGGTTTTGGTTAGCAATGAGAGTTGTTAGACTTTTCTTTTTGTAGAATTTTTTATCAGGCAGAATTTTCTTATTCAAAAAATTTTATTTTGCAGAATTTTCATCTTGAATGATTTTTATTTGACAGCATTTTTTTACTGAATTTGAATTTTACAAAATTTATTCTTTAACCGAAATTAAATTTTATTTAAATTTGTTTACATTATAAAAATTCAACACAACTTGTAAATAATCGAATGTTTGTTTGACTGAATTTTCAATTAAAATTTCTATTTAAGGCTCTTTTTATTTAGAAGAATATTTATTTAGAAGCATTTTTATTTAAAAGAATTTTCATTTCGAGAAATTGGTAAATTAAGAAATTTTTATTTAAACGAATTTTCATTTAGCGGAATTCTTATTTAACGAAATATTAAATGAATTGAATTTCCCAAATTTATAATTTAAATTTTAACGAATTCAATCAAAAGATCATTTCTGAAAATAAAAATTCGCTAATATAAGAATTCTGCATTTCTGAAAATAAACACTCTTTTATCAAAAAATTTCATTTCCTTAAATAAAAATTTGTTTAACAGAAAATTTATTTCAGCTTTAAATTCTTTAAATTACTTAAAATAATAATTGCTCTGTTTAAAAATCCATTGAAATAAAAATTCTTTTAAACAGAAATTTCTTTATGTAAAAATTCCTTTAAATAAAATTATATTTTCCCTCAATAAAAATAATTTTGTTTTAAAATTCCATTAAATAAAACTTCTTATTTTAAAAAATTTCTTTTCGCTAAATAAAAAATTTGTTTAACCTAAAATTTGTTTCAGCTTTAAATTCTTTAAATTACTTAAAATAAAAATTCTCGTATTATTTGTTTAGATAAAAATTATTTTGTTTAAAAATTCATTTAAATAAAAATTAATTTACTTAAAAATTTCTTAAAATAAAAATGCTTTTAAATAGAAATTTCTTTATATATAAATTCCTTGAAAATTAAAATAAACTTTTATTTTGCCTGAATAAAAATTCTTTTCCTCAAAAAATTCATTTAAGAAAAATTTTTTTCTATAAATATTCTTTTATAAAAAAAATTCCTTTTCGCTCAAGAAATATTCCTATATCTAAAAATTTCTATTTAAATAACAATTATTAAATAGAAATTCGTTCTATTTAAAAATTTCTTTAAAGGAAAATTCTTTTGCCTAAAAATTAGTTTTAATAAAAATTATGTTATCTAAAAATTCCATTAAATAAAAATTCTTTTATAAAAAAATCCCTTTTCGTCCAATTAATATTAATTTATCTAAAAATCCGTATAAATAAAACTTATTTTATCTAATAATTCGATTAAATGAAAATTCTTTTAAATATATATCCTTTCATCTAAAAATTTAAATAACAATTATTTTAAATAGAAATTCGTGACATGAAAATTTCTTTAAATAAAAATTCTTTGATCTAAAAAGTAGTTTTAATATCTAAATATTGTTTTATCAATAAAAATCCCATTAAATAAAAATTCATGTACATAAAATTTCTTTAATTAAAAATTCTTTTATGTCAAAATTTCTTTAAATAAAAATTCTTTTATCTAAAAGTCGGATTTAGTAAATTTTTTTTTCTGGGAATGGGGTTAAATAGAAATTCTTCTAATTGAAAGTTCAGTCAAATAAAAATTCGATTACATTCAAATTTTATTTGGCAAAAATTCCACTTAATTTAAAGTCAATTAAAGAAAAATTCTGCGAAAGAAAATTCTTTCAAAAAAAATTCTATCACTGGAAACATCTGGTAAATTCCTAAAAAATTCCTCCTAGGGAGTAATAAAAATTGCCAATAAAAATATTTCACTGTCGCAAGACATTATTATTTCCCCCATTCTTCTAATTGTTGCTACGTTTATACAGAGTAAAGAATTTTAATAGAGAACTTATCTTCAAGATAATATTGTCCATTGAATATATATGATGTGAATCAATAAAAGAAAATTTTACATTCATGACGATCTAAAAATAAAAGGTTTGTGCATTGTTTTCGATGGGTTTCTCGGAATTTCCTTGGCACTTTCTCGTCGATTGCACGAGTCATGACAAGTTAAGAGAGAAAATTATTGTGAAGGTGAGAGGGAACGTATTTTTTCCATTTTTTTTTTCCTTTATATTTCATGTTTGAAATTATTTGCGTCACTTCCGCTTGTTATTGTCTCATTATTAAATAAAAGAAGAATCGAGAGAAAAATTATAATTCAATAAATATCTATATATTATATATAAAATAAATTTAGCCACATTTATTATATTATATTTTTTATTTTATCGTAGGACGCACTTTATTAAACTTTCAAATAATAACGACTTTATGTATGTTAATGGATAGAATGAAATTATCATTTTTTTAAATCGGTTACATTTACGGAAGTATATATCTATGTATTTATATGTATATTCATTGAGTAATGAAGAATTAATAATACTTAAATTCACCTCTTCATTTCATAATAATTTTCTAAGTTTCCATATAGAAAAGTAGTTCCTGATTGGGTGAACTCAATATTCTTTTATGGTCTTTTGAAGTGTTTTTTCTTTCTTTTTTTCGCAATACGCATATCTTCCACTTTGGGAATTCCATCCTCTTCCATAAAACTGACGCAACTGATACGTTTGCTTTTCTTAAAATCTCAACGTTGGAGAAAGTTGTTTGTACGATCAGGTGGAAAAGAAAGAGAGAGAGAGAAAGATTAAGTGATAGAGGGAGAGAAAGATAGAGAGAGCACGTGACATAATTACATACACAGGATTACGTTCTTCCAACATAACTATTAAGTATTTTTTGCTCTGTTGTACAATATTCTTTTGACCATTGGGAAAGTGTGCTTTAAAGAGACAAACTCAACAAGCGAAGATAGATTTTAATTCATCGCAGGAATTTTAGAATAGAGAAATGTAAAATTGAAAAATTGTAGATCGAAATTCAATTGGACTTTGTTACAATTTTTTTTGCTTCTTTATTTTTTTTTTCTCTTTCTCTATTTTTTTTTTAGAAATGAGCTACAGTCGACACATTTTATTCACGAGAAAAGAATAAACAATTATTTTTTTGAATTCTTTACGTGAAAAAAGTACTTTGGTAAATTTTTTAGCTCCCTTGGTGAATAATAGGTGATATTAGTTACATTTTTATCTCTAAAAACCTTAAATTTTTCTCGCTGAGCGTCGACGCTAAATTCGTTTCGAGATGAAATGAAAATAGAGTAAATAATTTTTTTAATGATTTTTTTTATGATGTTTAGATGAGAACTTACCTGAACTCGATAGGGAAATTCTCGGAAGTACTGATCTTGGAGATCGTAGAAGGTGACTGAATAGGAATCTTCCTTTGATAATTTTCGCCTCTCGAGGCCTTCTTTAATTTTCGTTAATCCGTAACAAGCTCCGGCCAAATATGCAGCAAAGATAATTATAACGAGAGCCTTTACGGATTTCATGTTTAGAGCTGCGCCCAAGTAATCTCTGAACCAACTCATGCATCCGTGCTCAGGATTGTCAACTAAATTGCAAGGATTGTCGGGATCGATTCCTCCTGAGCATAGGACACGATAAAACCATGAGCGATGACCTGTAATGAAAAGAAAAAAAATTGATTTTTTTATTATTTTCGTCGCTAGGCTAATAATTATATGGATTATTGTAATTAGTGTCAGTGTTGTCTTAAATTTGTCAAAACTTACACCAGGCTTCGCACTTATCTACTACAACCTACTATTTACTATTTTTTTTTAAATTATGCTACTATTTGGGTACTTTTTTTAGATTTCAGCCACTAAAAGCTACTATTTCTGTTTTTTTTTATTTTTTAAGAATTTCCACTACTTTAAATTAGCTAATACTAGAAATCAAAAAACTATTCTCAAAAATTATAATCAAATTCTTCAAAACGATTCAATTATTTCAAAAAATATTTGAAATTTAATTGTTTTCAATATCTAGTATTTTGACACAAAATTTCGCAAAAGAATTCAATTATTTTCAAAAAAAATTGATAAAATTCATCCAAAATTCAATTATTTTCATAAATAATAAAATTTTCACAGGAATTCAATTAATTTAGAATAGCATTTTCAAGAAAATTTCAAAAAAATCAGTGATTTAACAAAATTTTTATACAATTCTTCACAATAATTCAATTACTTTCACTAATAACATTTTTCATGGAAATTTAATTATTTAAAAATTTTTTTAAAAAAATTCTAAGCAAGAATTCAATTATTTAAAATAAACTTTTCATAATATTTATTATGTTTCGTAAAAATTATTTATTTCAAACAATGTTTATAAAATTTTTATAAAGAATTCAATTATTTTCAAAAATAACAAAATTTTTCACAGAAATTCAATTATTTTTGAAAATTTTAATAAAATTCTTCTCAAGAATTCAATTATTTACATTAGCAATTCTTCGAAAGAATTCAATTATATCGATAAATAACATAATTATTCTTCGAAAATTCAATTATTTTGAGGCATTTTAATAAAATTCTTTGCGAAATTCAATTATTTACATAAATAACAATATTAAGCAATTATTATCAATTATCAATTATTCAATTATCAATTATTTTTAAAAATTCACGCTGCAATGCTTTTAATATTCAATGATTATCTAAAGTTTAAACTGAAATGCTTTTTTAAATCAATTTTTATTAGAAAATTCTACGAAAATTCAATTATTTAAATACAAAAATAAATAATTGAATAAATGAATGTTTCTCGAAATTGAATTATCATAAAGAATTTTATGATCATAACTAAATTTTTTCGATGAATTTTAATAAAATCTTCAAGAATTATTACATTTTTACAGGAATTCGATTAAAATTGTATTAAAATTAATTGAAATTCTATATGATGACTTTTATTATTCATGAAAATAATTCAATTCTTTTAAAAAATTTTATTAAAATAGTTATCAAAATCATTTAATTGAGTAGAATTTTTGAAAATAATTGTTTTGCCAAGCATTTTATTAAAATTTTTAAAAATAATTTAATTTTAGAGAAGAATTTAATTATTTCTAATAATTTTAATAGAACATTTTTCAATAGAATTCTTTGTAAAATTTAATTATTTTTAAAAACTTTTCGAAATTCAATAATTTTCAATATCTAGGTACTATTTGCAAAAAATTTCCAAACAGAATTTAATTATTTAAGAATTTTTTGTAAAAATCTCTGTAAGAATTCAATTCTTTTCATGAATAATAAAAATTTCTCAGGAATTCAATTATTTAAATAATTGAATTCGCAAGAATTAAATTAATTTTATAAATATTTAAATTCTTTCACGATTATTAAAATTCGTTGCAGGTCAATTCAATATATTAGCAGGATAAGAAAGAAGTAAATATTTTTCATGAAAATTGGGAGAAAGTTAGGAAAATAAAATATAGAATGAAATTTTTGTTAGTTTTGTGAAGTGTCAAAAACGAGTTTTTTTGGTCGTCAAGTTTAATTTTTCGATAGCTACTTTTTTACTACCTTTTTTAGTTTGAAAGCTACTTTTTGCTACTTTTTTGAAATTAATTATCAAGTGCGAAGTCTGTGATACCGAAATTTGTTGCTAATTGTTGGTAGCAAATATTTTTTTGCAATATTCGTTGCAAATTGATACTAAAATTTGTTACTAAATATTGATGCAAACATTTTTTGCTAATATTAAAATTTATTACTGAATATTCAGTATCAATTCAATGAAAATTGATACTGGTCAATAACTATAGCGGGTATTAATTAAAATATTATTAATAATGCTGAGATTTTTGTAATGTTTCTAAATGCGATTTTTGGAATTTTTTTCGTTTTTTGGTTGAACTTGTGAAGCTGGAAAATTTTAATATTAGTCACCTATCATTTGAAACAATAGTAAATGGAGTTTTTATATCTTCTTTAATGAGATATTGTACATTAATAACAAAGAAACAGAAGCATAAACAGTTTTGATAAGAGGAATGCAATTATATTGTTTCCTGCCTGACGCATTTTAATGCCCGTCACTGACCTTATAGGAAAGGCGTTTTGAACGTGATTAAAATATCTTAAAAAGCAAGTTTTCTTATTATTCTGCTTTTTTGAAAAATGTAATTTTTTCCCAATTTTTTTTTTATATTATTTTTTTAATTATTCGTTATTTTTGGTATTTAGTTTTTGAATCATTTTTACAATCACTAAATTTACTAATCACTTTATAATTTGCTGGATAGGTAATTTTACTAAATATAAATTAATGCCAATTAGTACTAATTAATGCTAGTAGTACTAATTAGGGGTACTAATTAATGCTAGTAGTATTAATTAATGGTACTAATTAATGCTAGTAGTACTAATTAGTGGTATTTAGTCACTAGAATGAGTACTAATTTAAACTGAAAAACAATAATTCAGATTTAAAGAGAATAATTTTTTTTCCATTGAATCGAATAATTACATTTACGAATAAATTACTGAACTATTCAAAAGAGGGGAAATTCCCTATAAAATTAGCGATACAGTTTCGATAAACCAGTGAAGCGATGACGTTTATAATAACATTAGCCACGCGGAGGGAAAGCAACTCACGATTACACAAGTTTATCCGCACGTTAAAATCATCTAATCCTATAACAAATTAACTGTTCTTTATAAGCGCACAGTGAAAAAGGAAAATTTCCTCTAACGACTTCTTGCAATAATTTTATATACCGAATATTTCATTTATTTCCTACTTATAACAATTGAAAGTATACTGCAATGGACAACAATTGAATTGTACATGTTATTTATTTGTCATAATAATACTAATATTCATAAAAAAAATATAGACGCCCACGAATAACGTAACTTGATTTCCAAACTTTGTATTGGAAAAAAAAATTATAGACAGTATTCTCAATCACATGGAAGATATGACGTAAAATCCAAATTATAAGATGGTCATTTTGTTTTCCTAATATATCAAAAGTGAACAATATATGTATTTATATCTATTTGTACGTAGTATGTATCCATTGAAAGCGTAATACACAACTGTCGATTTTTTAGTCCGCGGAATAGTCTCGGTTGACATGATCGCTTGGAGAAAGCATTTTCGCGGAAATATATTGGCATAAAACGTATTCATAACGTGTATATCTATATACATATACATATAGTGATATAAATACAATATAATATAATCTTGTCAGAATCTTATTGTTTGCATTTAGAAAACAAATGAAAAATGCTCAAAAGAATATTTTTCTTCTTTTGTATATAAAATTTAAATAAGTGAAATTTTGTTGCTTTTTTCAAAATCTGTTTTAGTAGAGAAATGATATATACACTTCTGGGTTGTTTGTAACTGTCTATTTATGTAAAAGTTAAAAATAGATTTTGTTCAGCTATAAATAATGATTTTTTTTATTTATCATATTTAGTAATCACCTTCATAATAATAAGCGATGGTTATTTTTTTATAGGGAATTCCAATCCTTTTTTTTTATAAATGCCAGACGAGCATTCATTCACAAAGGAAAAAAGATGCAGTCGATTTGTATATTATAGAGAAACAGGTTGAGAGAACTAAAATTGGAATAAAAATTCTTTGGATCGTAAAATTATTAATTTGACAAACTTCAAAATTTAATAATATTTTTTAGAATTTGCTTTTTGTTTATTAAATATTTTGTTGAAATTTTAAAGAATTTATTATTTTGCTTAACAAAACCATTTGCAAAAAAAATTTTACCATAAAACTTTAATTTTGTTTTTCCCTGACTTTTCCCTGATTTCCAGAAAAAATTTTCACTTTTTCCCTGACCCTGAAGAACATCGATAACTTTTTTTTTAATTAAATATTTAATCATTATTATTTTTCTATAGAAATTAAGATTCTCAAATTCAATAACTTATGAGAATATTTTTATAAAACACATGAAGAAATCGACCACTCCGATCCTTCGACTCGGAGTGATCAATTTTCTCATGTTTTATAATAAATTTTAGATGACAGAGTGATAAAATCATTATTTTATATCATAAGAATATTGTAACTGTAAATTCAAATTTTCAAACATTTTAATTTTGAACCATTTTCAGAATTCAATTATTTCTAAAAATTATTATTAATTAATTATTTCTAAAACACAATAACTCTTCTAATATTCAATTATTATCTAAAATTTTACCTGAAATCCATTTTTTAATAAATTTTTATTAGAAAATTTTTTGAGAATTCAATTATTTACATACTAAAATAAATAATTTATTCAATAATTGAATATTTCTTAAAATTAAATTTTTATGAAGAATTTTATATCAATAAATTTCTAAATAATTGAATTTTTTCGGTGAATTTAAAAAAAAATGGTAAGAATAAATGCAATTTTCTATCATTACATTTAAAATTGTATAGAAAATAATTTAAATTCTGCGATAAGTTTTGTTATTTATGAAAATAATTGAATTCTTGCAACGAATTTTATTATATTTTTTTTAAAGAAATTGAATTCCTGTAAAGATTTTATATGTAAAAATAATTGAATTGTGGAGAAAAAAATTATTATTCATGGAAATAATTAATTTCTTGTGAATAGTTTTATTTAAATTTCTTTAAATATTTGAATTTCTCAGAATTTTTTAAAACTTTTTGAAAATAATTAAATTTTATTAAAAAGTTGAAAAATAATTGAAATCTGGCAAAGCATTAAAAAAAATTCTTTTTTAAATAATTGAATTCCTGTGAAAAAGTTTATTTTTGAAAAGTATTGAATTCTTGCAATGAATTTTATTATAATTTCATAAATAATTTAATTGCTTTGAAGATTTTTATTTTTTACAAAAATAATTGAATTCTTTCGGAGATTCTTACAAACATTTTTGACAAGAATTGTATCCTTAGGAACAATGTTATATTTTACGAAAATAATTTTATTCTACGACCAATTTTATTATAGTTTTTCAAATTTAAACAGCATTTTATCAAAATTTGTTTAAATAATTGAGTTTTTAAGAAAAATTTAATTATTTATAAAAATAATTGATTTCTAGCGAAGTATTCTATTCAAATTTTTTTAAATAATTGAATTCACATAAAAAATGTATTATTTGTGAAAATAATTGAATTCTCAAGAAGAATTGTATTGAAAATAATTGAATTGTATAGGAAAATTTTATTAAAATGCAAGTTTATTAACTAAATCTTGTGAAGAATTTTGTCAAAAAATTTTTTAAACATAATAGAATTTTTAAAAGAATTTTATTTAAATTTTTAGAAACAATTGAATTTCTCAGAACTATTTTTTTCAATTCTCTGAATACAATTGAATTCTTTGGAGAAATTTCATTAAAAAATTAAAAATTATTGAATTTTAATTAAAAGTTTGTTTAAATAATAGAATTCTTTTGTAAAATTTTATTAAAATAGTAGATATTAAAAATAATTGAAATGGGGAAAATTTTTGAAAATAATTGAAATTTTCCCAAGAATTTTATTAAATGTTTTGAAAATAATTGAATTTCGGAGAAGAATTTTATTATTTATAAAGATAATTGAAATTTTGACGAAAGTTTAAAAAAAATTTTGAACATAATTGAAAATACTGTTTTGATAATTTTTACCTAAAATTAAAATTTGCATGTATTTATTTATTTAAAAAATGGATTAAATTTAAAATTTAATAAAAGAATTTTTATTCTAAATTTAGTTTAGACTGTAAAAAATATCGACTACATTTGCATATTGTAAGAATAGAAAACAGAGAGAGATTTATTTTTTTAATTAGAATATGCAATATGAGGTGCGTAATTAATTAATAAAATTCTAATTATACTGACTTGATTTTGAAAGAGGTTGAACTTTACAACAGAAGACACTGTGGAGATTTTTTTGCTCGCAGTATCCACTTATCGCGAGGCATCCGGTGAAAAAGGTCAAATGAAACAGGAATGTAAACACCACCGCAAAACCTATAAACATTAATGTTTTAACAAATTGATTATTAATTGCACACTGAAAAGAAAATTTATTTTGTTCAAATAATCGATTTCTTGTCTATTAGCAAATAAATATTTACTTGAATCCAAAGGATATTTACTTCAGTCAAATATTTACTTGAATCAAATGAATATTTACTTGAGTCAAATATTTACTTGAATCAAATGCATATTTAATTGACTCAAATATTTACTTGAATCAAATAAATATTTACTTGAGTCAAATAATTACTTGAATCAAATACATATTTAATTGAGTCAAATATTTACTTGAATCAAATAAATATTTACTTGAGTCAAATATTTACTTGAATCAAATGAATATTTACTTGAGTCAAATATTTACTTGAATCAAATGCATATTTAATTGACTCAAATATTTACTTGAATCAAATAAATATTTACTTGAGTCAAATAATTACTTGAATCAAATACATATTTAATTGAGTCAAATATTTACTTGAATCAAATAAATATTTACTTGAGTCAAATATTTACTTGAATCAAATGAATATTTACTTGAGTCAAATATTTACTTGAATCAAATGCATATGTAATTGACTCAAATATTTACTTGAATCAAATAAATATTTACTTGAGTCAAATATTTACTTGAATCAAATGAATATTTACTTGAGTCAAATATTTACTTGAATCAAATGCATATTTAATTGACTCAAATATTTACTTGAGTCAAATATTTACTTGAATCAAATACATATTTAATTGAGTCAAATAAATATTTGCTTGAGTCAAATATTTACTTGAATCAAATACATATCTAATTGAGTCAAATAAATATTTACTTGAGTCAAATAAATATTCACTTGAGTCAAATAAATATTTACTTGAATTAAATAATTTTTATTTAAATCAAATAAATTGTATTTGAATCGCAATAATTTCAGTATTTGAAGCAAATAACAATTAAATGTCTTTAATAAAAATTATTTGCTACAAATAATGAATATTCATTGAAATAATGAATTATTTATTTGTTTCTCTATAAGTAGTTTAATTGGTAATGGACAATTAATTATTTATTTGACCAAATAAAAAAATTATATTTGAAAATTAAATTATTTACCTGAGTAAATGCAGAATATTTGAATCGAAGGGAACTGTGTGAATATTCCTATGAAAAAGGAAACCATATTAGTTAAAGATGTAATTGTGACGGAAACTGCAGCTTCACTTAAGGTCTCTGCCATTCTCAAAGGCACTGGACTTGTGAAATCTGTTCGTCTCCAAGCTGCCAGCATCACAAATGTATCATCGATTCCGATTCCTGAAAAGCATTACAAATATTTTTGTTAAATTATAAAAATTTAAAAACAAATTCTCTATTTTATGAAATTATTTGTTTTTTTTTTAAATTAATTTTACATTTATTTATTTAAAAAAATAAAAGGGACGAGGCCTTTTTTAAAACAAAATAAAGTAAAACTAAATTTTTATTTTTTCAAATTGAATTTACTGCTTTGTGATAATTTTAATTAAATGATAAACAAATGCAGCATTAAAGTTAATTGAAAGTCACTTTAATTTGGTTTTCATTTGAAATAATTAATTTTTAATTTTCTTTATATATTTTGTTTATAAACACTGTAAAGTGACAAAATCCTTTGTTCAAATTAAAGAACTCGGATTAAATATGTATATTTGAAAGCATGCGCATATTTTCTTAACAGTTTTGAATTGCAATATACTAGGCAATGAAATAATCTTTAAATTACACGGATTAGTCAGTCTATATCAAACACATCTTTTATATCTGTGGCTTAATAAACCACAAAAACTAACGCGCAATGAATCATCTCACTTATAACAAAAGGGAAAATTAATAAATCATATCTCATTATACCGCACTTTTAGTGTGACTGGACTTAACTCGATAAATTACGGTTTGCTGTTTTTTTTCTTCCCGTTTTTTTTTAATATAGAATTTAATAATAATTATTATCAACTGACGCATTATAGTGCGAATACTTCATTTTTATTTTACACTGCTTTTTATGTATATGAAAAGAAATCAGTTTTCATGACATGAGGAAAAATTTTTATGTGAATAATTTTGTGGAAGAGAAAAAAATTTTATGACCCACTTTGTGGAATTAATATCTTTTAAATTTGCATTCTCTCTTTTAGTCTTTTTTAAATACATTTTTTATCGTTTATTAAAAATATTATCTTTTAATAATTTTGTTCAGAGATTATTATATTTAATTTTTTAAAAATATTTTTTTCATTTTTGGTTTAGAATATTTTTTTATACTTTGTTTAAAATATTTTATTTTGTATTTTATTATTTTTAGAGAATATTTTCTTTAGGATATTTTTTTGGATAGTTTTTTGAAATATTCGGTTTAAAATATTTTTTGTATTATTCTAAAAATAATTAATAATAATAATAAATAATAATAATAATAATAATAATAATTTTATTATTAATAAAATATACTAAAAAAAATTATTATTCTAAATAAAATTTATGAAAAAACTTCATGAATTTTATTTAGAATAATTTTTTTTAGTATACCTATTTTATTTCATATTTGGTTTAGAATATTTTATTTTATATTTTGATAAGAATATTATTTTTACATTTTGTATATAATTTTTTGTTTAGAATAGTTTTTGTTTATAAATTTTATTAAGAATATTTCTTTAGAATAGTTTTATTTATTAGTTTATTTATTTATTTTAAAAAATTAATTCTTGAAATATTTTATTTAAAATATTTTTTTAGAATAAGTTTTTGAAATATTTTGTTTAGAATGTTTTTTTATATTGAATAGAATTTATTTCTTGATGCACAAATTTTGTTTTACATCTCTTTAAATTTTTTTATATTTTTTCAGAATAATTTTTTTTATACTTTGTTTAGAATATTTTATTTTGAATTTAATATTTTTAGAATATTTTTTTTCTCATTTTTTCAGAATAATTTTTTTAAATATTTTGTTTGGATTAATTTTTTAGAATAGTTTTTTGAAATATTCTGTTTAGAATATTCTTTTTACATTTTGTTTAGAATATTTTTTGTATTATTCAAAATAAAATTCATGAAAAAACTATAGTTTTATAGTAAAAAATGTTTAACTATATTTTTAACTATAATTTTATTTAGAATAATTTTTTAGAATATTTTATTCCATATTTTGTTTAGAATATTTTATTTTATATTTTGTTTAGAATTTTTTTTCGAATTTTTCATTTTACATTTTGTTAAGAATATTATTTTTACATTTTGTATAGAATTTTTTTTAGAATAGTCTTTGTTCATAAAATTTAGAATAGTTTCATTTATTAGTTTATTTATTTATTTACAAAATTAGTTCTTGAAATATTTTCTTTAAAATTTTTTTTTTAGAATAATTTTTTGAAATGTTTTGTTTAGAATTCTTTTTTGAATTTTTCATTTTATATTTTGTTAAGAATATTATTTTTACATTTTGTATAGAATTTTTATTTTTTTAGAATAGTTTTTGTTCATAAATTTTATTTAGAATATTTCTTTAGAATAGTTTTATTTATTATTTTTTTTACTTATTCACAAAATTAATTCTTGAAATATATTGTTTAAAATATTTTATTAGAATAATTTTTCGAAATATTTTGTTGGGAATATGTTTTTAAATAATTTTCCGTCTAAATCTGAATTTATGAACAGTCATCATCCACTAATTAAAAAATAATTTCTATTAATTCCTGGAGTACAATTTTTTATAGTTTTAAATTTGTTTACTAAACTTTAGTAAAAATTACAAACAACTATAGTAGAAATTTCGACTAATTTGAAATATAAATATGGGACATTCCACGTCAACACGGACAGAGCTCTAAACAAAAATTGCTTTGATGGATTTAAACGTTCTAGGGCTTAAAAGATTTCTACGTTCATGTACTTTAAGATGCCGATGGGCGTTTTTTGCAAAATTCCATTTCCGATGCCAATAGAACTGTCAAAAGTCAAAAGGTCCAAAAATCTCAAAATACTTTTATGAATTAAAAGCAAAAAACGAGGTAAATTATTCTGTAACTCATTCTTTATCAGTTTTTAGGGTTCCCGAATATAAATCTAAAGTTTTTTTTTAAAAATCCAAAATGGCGAATTCAATATGGCGGACAAAATTCAAATTTGATCAGATTCGATTAAAACTTGTTACTCGGGGGTTTTTAGGGTCGCTGATTACGAATCTGAAGTCACTTTTTAAAAATTCAAAATGGCGGATCCAATATGGCGGAAAAAATTTTCAAATTTGATCCGATTCCCTTAAAACGTGTTACTCGGGGGCTTTTGGGGTCGCAGATTATGAATATGAAGTTACTTTGTGTTTGAGACTTCAAATTCATAATCAGATACGCTAAAAACCACCGAGTAACACTTTTTAATTAAATCTGATCAAATTAAAAAATTTGATCCGCCATTTTGAATTTCTACAAAGTAACTTCATATTCATAATCTGCGACCCCAAAAGCCCCCGAGTAACACGTTTTAAGGGAATCGGATCAAATTTGAATTTTGTCCGCCATATTGAATTCGCCATTTTGGATTTTAAAAAAAAAACTTTAGATTTATATTCGGGAACCCTAAAAACTGATAAAGAATGAGTTACAGAATAATTTACCTCGTTTTTTGCTTTTAATTCATAAAAGTATTTTGAGATTTTTGGATCTTTTGACTTTTGACAGTTCTATTGGCATCGGAAATGGAATTTTGCAAAAAACGCCCATCGACATCTTAAAGTACATGAACGTAGAAATCTTTTAAGCCCTAGAACGTTTAAATCCATCAAAGCAATTTTTGTTTAGAGCTCTGTCCGTGTTGACGTGGAATGTCCCATATATATTTTTTTTATAATTTTTTTTAAATATTAAAATCGCAAGAGTGATTCATTAATTAATTTCTCTAATTTCACAAATTTTTCTCGTAGAGAAAGTGGAAAAAAATGTACATAAGGGAAGTAGGTATCAAAATAGGGGAGTTTAATATGCGCGCGTCAAATAAAAAAGAAGAAAAAAAATGAAATAATAGTCTCTCGATACATATATATTTCATATCGCGCGGGCGTTTATTGTATCGAACTCGCGAATGAAAGTTTATAAAAGATGAAATTAAATTCATAAAGCATTTATATTTATATATACATATATATACATATATATATTTATTGTAAGGAAGCTTTCGTTTTCCTATACTTTGAATGCTTATAAAGATAAAGCGAACTAACAACTTTAGTTCACTATACACATAAAGTACGTCAGATCAGATCAAACGACTTCCTGCAATGCACAACTGGGGATCAAGCTCTCAGTACAAAAAGAATTAAGTAATATACGTTGAACGATAGGAAAATGAGCCAATATGATTTATTATTCTATTTGTGCTCAATGAACCACGTGCATTAAAAAATTCACGCTCAAAATTGACCAATCAAATGCGAAAAATTTTATATTTTATTTCGGCACATAAACTTCTATAAAGATTTTGTTGCGAAAGAATAATAATATATTCTGCGGAGGAATTTCAAATAAGACCATTATTTTTTTTTTTCTCTTGTTAAGAGAATCGGGACATTATACTCTTATATGTGAAATTGAGTAATTCAATTAGGAAACGTACAATTGTAGTGAAAAATATTTAGCGAATACGAATAATAATTTCCACTAATAAATAAAAACAATATTTTTCAAAAAAAAAACTTCGAATCACTAATTTTTTATTGTTAAGAGAAATAATAACAGTGAATTTAACTATAATGATTAGTCATCGTTATCTATTTAATAAATTTAATTAAATGTACTGTTAGGCTTTGTAATTTCAAATAAAGAAAAAAGTAAAACTATTATTGAATTAACTGACTGAATATTAAATAAAAATAATTTTCCATTTTCGTGATAATTTCGCAAAAGCGAAAGTTTTTTGTCATAAATTTGACCGAATGATTTGATTAGAAATATTGCCAAATTATTTCGAGAATATATCTAACGTTGAAGAGTTGAAGGAAGAAATTCTTTTTCTTCGGTAATTGATTATGTATCGAAGAAATATTAAATTTAATCATAATATATTCACGAATCCTTGAAAATAAATGATACCCAATGGGCATATTAGATAACTTTATTAATTTGATCAGAATTTATTTAATAGTAAGTTGATACTTTCATTCAATAGTTCGAATGTTAGAAAGAGTTTTTTTTTATCCAAAACGAACACGTGTTTATGTCAAAGAAATTATGATATATTTTGCATATTTATTAGAACAGTTTTTTGAGTTAGAGATT